ATCCAAAAAGATCGAAATCGCGATCCGCGTCTGGCAGTTTCGACAGAATACAGACCACTTCGAATTATTTTATTCGATTATGGTAACGTGCCTATCACGTTGAGGTTAGCTACGCCGGGATTCGTTTCAGCAAGTAGATATCCATATATTTAAATGGACCTTGTTAGAGCATACGTAGTCCTAAAATGTAGCATTGTACTACAGATGGCGTTTACCGCGCCATTTGTGGTATATTATAAAACGCGCTGTTAGGACAGCAGGTAAAAATTGGTCTGTATTCTGTCGGAGCTATCTGCCACGCGCTGATGAGATCCAAAAAGATCGAAATCGCTATCCGCGTCTGGCAGTTTCGACAGAATACAGACCACTTTATTAGTTTCTTGTCAAAACAAATCTGGATCGACTGTGTCTCAGAAACCTGGTTTCTAAGTAAAAATATTTTTTTTTAGTTTTTAGGATTCCATTCCTGACTCTTCTTATAGTATGCTGAAGGCTTTCCTGTTCGTCCATTGTGTCTTCTAAATGAAATGATAATATACACTATAGTCTGATAAGTACTCTGGAAATTTGAAAGGTAACAATTTGGAGGCACTGTGGAGTGCATCTCATGATAGCGCCGCAATGTAGAAGGTGTAAATACTATGCATAAGAAGTAACTCAGTTAATGAACCGTTAAAGATTGAGAACAAACACAAGGTTGACGATCGCGTTATCTTATCACCCTCGGTTACGTCTAGCGCCAAAAGACGAAACACACGTACCTTCTCGTGACCTTCGCAGCAACTGGTACATAAACAAGCCAATTACACGTAACGACGACTAATAGTAGTCTGCACTCCGTGATTGCCGTTCGATTGACAAAGTTGTTGCCATTAATATAAAATATAAAAATAAGTGTATCTTCAAACTATCAAGCAAATATTTGTGGACAGAATACGCGAATATTGTACTTGCGGTATCACATAGGAAGTGCGATACTACTCTGAAGAGGCGGAGGTTAGCTAAGACGACAAAACTGTACTGACGAAGTCGTTTTGCGATTAACAGAAAACAATCTGAATCATTGCACAACAAACAGGGATTCCGCGTGATACGGTGTGGAGGATTTTAAGAAAAAATTCCCTGCATTTGTGCTATTATTAAAATATGCTCCACTTATAACCGTGTCCGACATACCACACTTACGAGTATATATCTCTCTTGTATTTGAGAATTGTACTGTTTACGTCATCGTTTGAAACAACCGCCGGTGCATTTCTTCCTAACCCATGTCCGCATACGGAATTCCATCACAGCATGTAGCGATAGCGCGTTACTTAATTACACTAGGTAATCCTGGTCATCATTGTCGGAGCAGTTGGGGCTTTCGGTAAGGTCATTACCCTCATGTTTACGTATATCGCTGGGTGGTGCGAGATGGATCATTCTATTTCTTTTCATGTATCTTCTCCCTTAATTTTTCCGGAATACTTTATACAGATTTATACTATAATTGAATACAAATTCGCACATATACCTGACATGTAAAACTTGTCCCAGAAACTAACATAGTATTTTTAGTAATTGAAGCTATTTGTATGTGAATACCTCATTTATTTCGTTAGTTAAAGATGTTTATTATATTTATATTCTAAGTCTAACATTCGTTAAAATGAATAAATCGATAATGTGAACAATTTGTGTTTTCTCCGGTTCACTTGTTTACTTCAGTTTTTTGTTCGGAGCATTCGACGATTAAACGGTCCACTAGATATAATAATAGCAAATATTGAAGCGCTACAAAAACTCCAATCCTTTTTTGCAGAATTGTATACCAATGAAGTAGATACGCAGTTTGAAACTCAATTTTGCCGTCAAGGCAACAAATTGAAATTTAAAAAGGACGAAGACGATAAGATTTTGAAAACGCTGCGCTAAAAATATTTCACCATTAATAGCTAGTCCTTTTAAAAAACGCCGGACACGAGAATAATAAAAAGCGATTTTCTTTCATGTCGGTAACTGGTGGCATTAACCATAGGCTACCGGAAGGAGTGCGTGTATGCTCATTGAATAGGGACCTACTTGAATTCCATGTCATTTGCATCCGTCTGGCTTGATTAAACTCAGCGCGAGTATAAACTGAATTTCCTTCCGACAAAATGAACATTTACTAGAGAATTAAATACATAGAGGACAAGGCACACACATGTAATTGTGTGAACCATGTCAACATTTAGGAGAATTACCAACAAATACCAATCCAAAACAAAACGGTTCTCAAATTGCAAGGTTATTTGATAAAGTGGTATCAACTAGTTGAATAAATGAAGAGACGAAGTCCAAACCTATTTCTTAACTTATTTGTTTCAAAAATTTTTAATTCAGATTAGAACCAAAAAGAAAATATTTTGTAAGACATTTGGATTTGATAGCTAATAAAATGCCTGCTGTGATAAACATAAGCTGATTTGATTTTATTTTTGAGATGGACAGATTTTTATTTGATCTGGCAAAATTTAGGGTACCACATCAAGAGATAGGTCCCTTATATTTGGTAATGCGCTCGTCATGCCTCTCTATTTTCGTCGTTCAAAACATTCCTGGATCCTCGGCTGCCTGGTGGTTTTACTTCTTGACGTGTTCACATTCTCCCAAAGTAAATATAGGGGGCTAGGTTTGGTAAGTACGATCAGATTTATTTATGTCAAAGAACAAGGAGGGTAATTAATTTTTTTGTCCATCTTTTCAACATTTCTTCGTTCGCTCATTTGTTCTCCATGCTTTACACTGTGATTCAAGGTCGATGTTATATTTCTATAGCTAGGATCGTTATACCCTTCATCCATCCAAGAAAAGTAATACAAGTACGAGCAGAGTTCTTCTTTCCATGTTGCATTCGGTCTATTTAGCCTTTAATCAGGAATTAGCAACTATGGATTAAATTTTGCTCACAACTTCCTTAACTCCTAACGTTCTAATAGAATCATATGAGCAGTTGATTCTCCTAAAGTAACCTTATCAACCACTCATGTCTGCGGAACGTTGAAAAGATAAATTTTTGGAAAACGTCCAATAAGTCCGAAAACCAGCAGAAATACACCAGATAACAGCTGCAAAAACCTTACTTAAAATTCCTGAGATTTCATTAGTCAAAAATTTGATTTCGAGGTGTTGTTAGATCTGCTGAGCAATCTCCATCATCTGCATGAATAAAAATGCCAATCCCTCCAGCTTACACTCTTACAAAGGGTGAGGCAGATGGTAATGTTTGACAAATGGGGGGAATGGGTTGTGGTTATTGGGAAGAGAAAAGTGAGACGTATAAAATGAATCCAGAGGAGGAGTTAAGGATTATCTGTGGAATACTAGTACTCCAACATTTGCCTGTTAAAAGATGAAAGAAAAGCTGGGCCTAGACAAGCGAAATTTAAACCTTAAAGATGTGAAAGTGGGATGAATGGCTACGCATTTCTACATAATCATGTAATAAGGGGTCAAATGGTGAATGAATTTTTGTATGGGAATTCTGAAATACTTCAAATTAACAATGTATCCGAATGTAGACCCTTAGTGGTAACCCATAACATAAATTGAATTCATTTTCTAAAGCTTTCTGTGCAGCATTCTTCCATTTACAAATTAAACATTTTAATAAGATAATGCTACTTAATTAGTTTAGAGTTACAACTCATGCTTTGAAATGCATAGAGCAAATGAAAAACTGCCTGGCATGATATCACTATATCAGTTTGATGGAATTATGTATAGGCCGTCAACCCTACCTATTCATATATCTTATATTTACACAATTTTACAATCTTGTAAACTGTATAAAAACTTTATAAAGAACAGGGTAAAGATGAATGAATTTTAATTTTTCTTTTTTTTACACTTATTCTTTGCCCTTTATTACAGGTATATTCTTTGACGTTAAAATCGCCAATCATCTCTCTTTTTCAGAATAAAGATCTCTCATCGGATAAACCGGGGAAGTTATTAAAAGTTGTTGCGGCTACGAGGGCCTAAATCTCAATTCTTCTGTGAACCAGAGTGTTTTTAATTATTACCGGGGCTATGGATAACAAAAAAAAAGCAGGCGGTGGTTGGGGCGCGGTGGAAGCGCTCGCAATTTCGTATCTTTTTCCCTTGATTTACGATTTGCATCGCTCTTCTTCAAAAGTCTCGAACAACTGTGTACTAGTCGCAATCAAGGAAAGTAGGATCATTTCAAACGGGGGTTTCGAGGCCATCCGCCACCTATGTGATACAGGCTTGAGTTGAAAAGGACCACCGACATGGACTAATGACGAAGTATTTGGTTCTATGGAGCCATGAAATTACGCCAAATTGTTTTTTTTTTCAAGATAAATGGTCCACTTAGTTCTACGATAACAGAAAAAAAAACACTAAATTAGATCCGTTGCCGTAGTTCATGTTATGAAGCAATCTTCGGTTAAGAGTATTGCGCACTTTTCAAATTAAAGGCAATTTAATTAGGTACAATTTATGCAGCATCAATGTTCCTTCATCTGACAATGATCAAGATTCAATACATAACACGAGAGTGGATCGATATCGATAAGTTCGGCAGAAGTCATCGAACACAACAATTTGTTACCAAAACAGAAAATCATTTTTCAACATAATCTCCATTGATCTCAATACATTTGATCCAGCGATCTTCCAGCTTTTTAGTTACACGAAAAAAACTTTTATCCGAGTCTGCAAAATACTCGTTCTAACTCGTCGAGAATGATAGATCCACGTTTCATTAACAGTCACAAAACTACGCCAGAATTTCTCTGGATTATGTTACACCCTCTCCTAACGGGATTTTGAAACGGTCTCTCTGCATTCTGCTTATTAGTCAGAAGTCAGCATATACGACACCCATTACGCACTTTTTTTCATCTCCAGAATTTCATGCAGAATGTGATGAATGTACCCGTTCGTATGAGACGTTTACCATTTTATATAACTTCATCAATTTAATTAGACTTATGCTGCGCCCTCTCCAAACACGATTTTGAAACGGTCTCCCTGTATTTTGTTTTTGGTCAGAAGTCAGCATAAAGGACACCCATCGCGCACTGAACTTTTTCATCTGCAGAATTTCTTGCAGCATATGATGTATGTGCCCGTTCGTATGAGATGTCTACCATTTCAGATACCTTCCTCAATTTAATCTGACGATACTCTACTACGATGATGGATCCATGTTTCATCAACATTCACAAGACGACGCCAGAATTCCTCAGGAATATACGGCACCCTCCCCAAACACGATTTTGAAATGGACTCTCAGCATTATATTTTTTGGTCAGAAGTCAGCATATAGGACACCCATCGCGCACTGACCTTTATCACCTGCAGAATTTCTTGCAAGATGTGATGAATGTACCCGTTCGTATGAGATGTTTACGATTTCAGATATCTTCCTCAATTTAATCTGACGATCTTCTACTTCGATTGTGGATCCATGTTTCATCAACAACCACAAAACGACGCCAGGATTCCTTTGGATTTTATTTGAACGTCTTCAAACACGATTTTCAAACGATCTCTCTGCATTATGCTTTTTAGTTAGAAGTCAGCATATATGACACCCATCGCGCACTGAACTTTTTCATCTGCTGAATTTCTTGCAGGATATGATGTATGTACCCGTTCATATGATATGTTTACTTTCAGATATCTTCCTCAATTTAATCTGACGATACTCTACTACGATGATGGATCCATGTTTCATCAACATTCACAAGACGACGCCAGAAATCTTCTGGATTATGCTGCGCCCTCTCCAAACACTATTTTGAAACGCGCTTTCTGTATTTTATTTTTGGTCCGAAGTCAGCATGCACAACAGCCGCGTACTGGGTTTTTTCATCTGCAGAATTTCTTACAGGATGTGATAAATGTACCCATTTATATGAGACGTCATTTACCATCACAGATATATTCATCCATTTCATTTGACGACCTTTAATAAGATATCATGAATTGTTTTAATCGTTTCTTGGGTTTCCAGTGTTCTTATGACCACGTTTGAACTCATCAATACAATGGTCTTAAATACAGTTGCAGATGCCCCAGGAACTTCTTTCAACTGGGTTTCTATTTGTGCAGCAGTCCACTATTTTAAATAAAAATGTTTAATTACAGCTTGATACACATCTTTTCCCATTAAAAGAAAATCGTGAGGGTTTACTCTAATCAAATAAAAACTATGTGAAACTAATTCATGAAACTCATAGAGGGGTTTTATATAGAATTGCTCTCTCTGACCAAGACATGAAATTGGTACAGCAGTGTCATCTTCATAGCGATTTACCAAACTTATCGATCCATCTTAATAGATCATATACCATTCCCACGACGCAACGATGAAAATAATATCATGGTTTCTAAACAAGTCTAAACTGTCTCTCCCACCTTCTAATTTCTAATTCTATTATGTAGAATGACCGGAAGTCGATGAAAAAATTTTTGGAGCGATTTTGATCTGGAGCCCCAATTGTGGACAATTACCAAATTTCTTATAGTTTAGAAGTTTTTCGATATCTTATGACCCTATACCTTGTACTATAGTGACAGTTTTCATTTAATTATATCTACGTGTGATCGGCTATAACAAGCATCTGCTCGAAGAAACATAGTACTGGCTGGTCTACTACTACTAAAATAAAAGAAATACTATCAATGAACGAAAAAGCCAGAACGGACATGTTTACTCTACAAAAATGTTTCATCTAGTTGGTTTTCTTTAGCGAATGGAATAATCTCATCACGTTGTAATTTTCGCCCTTACCTGTTCTACCGATCCGTAATATCTCCTGGAAAAGACACCACGTCGAGATATGAGGTCACTGGCAGTTGTGCTGAAACAAAATTTAGTCCATTAGATTTACGGTCAACGACGCTATCACAACGTGGGGTCAAATCAATGATAGAAAAGACAAAAAGATCTGTGTTGACCTCATTTTTACTTATTACATTTCCAAAAATAGATGCCAATTTTTAAGCAATGGTAAAAACGAAGGAAGAAAAGATTTGAAGCTCATATAATATGATTAAGTAATAAAATACTAAAAAAAATGGTTAAATTCTTGAAAGCTTTTGTCGATAGAGAAGTCCATTTTTACAGATTCTAGGAAGATTATAGTAAGAATTTCACCATTAACACTTGTTAATGAAAAGTTATATCAAAGTTGACCCATCTTCAAGGACAAGTTCGCATTAGAGTGATTTGAGTGCCCAGAAAAACAAATTGTTAAGCACTTTTACTATATATCAACTGTTTACATGATCTTATAACACAAATACGTAAAACCATACACCCTGATTACCCTTTTGTTTTTCTTCTTTTAATTAGCTCAATCACATTATTTACCAATGAATCCTTACATTAACTGATTAAAATAAATTATATAAATTGAGTAAACACTAAGTCTAACTTCTAAGCTTTTTCGTTGTTGTTTATTGGACCGAAAACTGCCTTCCACNAAATATATACTAGTGGAACACAGTTATATATATATATATATGATAACACATTTTCCTTCAAAATTTTCAAATACTCCGAAAACTGTACGAAATAATGAACATTGATTATGATACGTCCTCAACAAAGAATTGAATTCCAATGTATGCTGATGACAATCTGGTGGGCTATTGGGTCAAACAACTCTCCAGATGGAATCAATACGAGAAGCAGAATTTTATGGGCTTTCTCGTCGTAAGATTGAGCAATAATCCTTTTAAGGGCGCTTTAATCGAAGAAGCTGGGTAAAAAACAAGCTAAAGGGAAATAAGGAACCTTTTTATCACCGTTCTTAGTTGCATTTCCCGCTAAGGGCTGTAGCAATTTTATAGAACATTAAAGTGGCGGCGTTTTTGAAGCAGGATAGTAAAAAAAAGAGACTTATAATCGAGAAGGTGGTCTAAGAAAAGTACCCTTCACGGGAAAATTATTTTGTAAAGCACAAAGGATTACCCTTTTGTTTTTCTTCTTTTAATTAGCTCAATCACATTATTTACCAATGAATCCTTACATTAACTGATTAAAATAAATTATATAAATTGAGTAAACACTAAGTCTAACTTCTAAGCTTTTTCGTTGTTGTTTATTGGACCGAAAACTGCCTTCCACAGAAAATACAGTTACCTACTTAGAATTTTGTAGAAATTGATGCATATCTTTTATAAATAAGCTTTACCTCAAACTAGCTATTACTTACATCTATTAATGAATGAAGAGAGGAAAGCATGTTACACAAATATCAAGCAGAAAAAAAGAGCTTTCGTAAATTTAATATTAACGGAAGTTTCTCTAAAACGTGGCAAAACAAAACATCCATAAAATAAACGAGAATAAAATATTTCTAATGATTATACACGAGGAAAACGTTTTTCTTACCGGGTTTTCATATTTGATATTGAATTCCGCAGAAATTTAATATAAATACAATTCATCTTAGCTTAGATTAAATTCAGCGTAGCGAAAAGGAAAGGGGAGAATTAAAAAGTATTTTCCAATAAAAGGTATATATTGAAAACCCACGAAAATCGCTCAAGTGAAAAAGTAGCACTTTAGGCAATTGAATGAATCAAAATCCGAACTGACGTCAAATTCGTTCCTTTTCGCATTTTTTGAAAGCAGGAGTTTGGAGGCATTTCAATAGGCATGATGTGAAACTGTAATATAAATAGCCATATTTAAAATTGGTAAGGACAAATTCTATAAATAATACACAGGTTGAGTTGTTTTTAACAAAAAGAAGCCACTTTTGTGCTCGCGAAAGGTTAATTTGGAAATTGTTAAAGTATACTTCAGAACACGAAATGAAACGTTAAAGATGTGGAAAAAACGAGGCTCTAGAAAGAGTAGGAGAGCGTAGAGTGCTATGAGAGTCAAAACGAAAAAGAAAAGATGCTAAAGAACTATTTAGAGGCAATCTAGAACCAAATACAGGAGTAAAAAGCGGAGGTCATAGGGAAAACCTACACTAAATTAATTATTGATCAGAAATAATTAAGATGTTGATTGGATGAACATAAGAAGAAAGAAGGCGACGTCTCCAATCAGTGTCTTCTAATACTATGTGATGATCTCGAATAGTGCTCTCGATTCTTCCGGTCCAATTCACTCTAGAACATTCTACCTCAGGAACATCCTACACATTCGAGAAAATTCTAGTTGAGGACAAGGTTAGAAACATTCAAGAACCTTCTAGTCCACTCTCAGTTATTCTAGACTGGTATTTATTGGTCGGTCACTCTTACGCTCACTAAGTTGGGAATTCCGAGCATTGTTTAAAACACAGCTGTTGAAATACATGAAAATGCCCCAATCTAGTATCAAAACGCACCTCAACCACTCAAACATAACGATTCTTGAATGGTTTAGAACGATATAAATTCTTCCGGCCCAGTTCGCCCTAGAACATTCTACCTGAGGAACATCCTAGACATTCGAGGACATTCTAGTTAAGGGCAAGGTTAGAAACATTCAAGAGCCTTCTAGTACACTCTCAGTTATTCTAGACTGGTGTTTGTTGGTCGGTCACTCTTACGCTCACTAAGTTGGGGATTCCAAGCATTGTTTACAACACAGCTGTCGAAATACATGAAAATGTCCCAATCTAGTGTCAAAACGCACCTCAACCACTTAAACATAACGATTCCTGGATGGTTTAGAATGATATAGATTCTTCCGGTCCAGTTCCAGGACATTCTACCTGAGGAACATCCTAGACATTCGATAAAATTCTAGTTGAGGACAACGTCAGAAACATTCAAGAACCTTCTAGTGCACTCTCAATTATTTTGAATTGGTGTCCATTGGTCCGTGATTGATACGTAAACACCCTTATACTCACCAAATTGGGGATTCGAAACATTTTTTACAATATAGTGTCAAACCTCACCTCAACCACTGAAATATAATAGCACTAGAAAACTTCAGCACGCTCTCAATTCTTCCGGTCTAGTTCACTCTAGAACATTCTACCTGAAGAACATCTTAGCCGGTCGAGAACATTCCACTTGAGGGCAACGTTAGAAACATTCAAAAACCTTCTAGTGCACTCTCAGTTATTCTAGGCTGGTATCTATTGGTCCGTGGTCGATACGTAAACACCCTTACACTCACCAAATTAGGGATTCTAAACATTTTTTGCAACACATCATCATCATCATCATAAGGTCGTCAGTCCTAAGACTGGTTGAACTAGAACAGCCCACATCCTTAACTATTTGCGAACAGTAATCTTATCTAGAATATGTCTCTGACTAGACCTTCATGACTGGGAAGGTGTCCTACCAATCTATCTCGCCTATTTTTTATTGACTTCCATAGAGTCCTCTGTTCTTCTATTCCTTCCAATACCTCTTCATTTCTAACCTTTTCTACCCCAGTTATCACAAAATAATATAAATATATAAGAATGTCCCAATATAGTGTTGAAACTCGCCTCCAACCCTCAAGCATAATAGTTCTCGAAAAGTCTAGGATGCTCTCCTGTTAACTCTGGAACATTCTACCTGAGGACATTCCTAAACATTCGTGAACATTCTAGTTGAGGACAACGTTAGAAACATTGAATAACCTTCTAGTACATTCTCACATACTCTAAACTAGTGTCTATTGGCCAGTGACCGATCCGTTAACCCACACACTTACCAAACCTGAGATTCCAGATATTTCTTACAATACTTCCATCGAAATATATAAACATGCTCCAATTTAGTGTCAAAACCCACCTCTACAGCTCAAACAACATGATTCTCAAACATTCCAGTTCTTGTTTCTTTTACTACGGTTCAATGTCGAACATTCTATCCGAGGACAATCCTAGACATGCGAGAACATTCCAGTTGAGGTCAATGTTAGAAACATTTAAAAACCTTTTAATGCATTCTCGGCGGTCGATCCGTAAACACTTACACCCACCACACATTTTTCGCGTTAACAAGTAGGTGTAGAAAAGTACCTATAATTTGCGTCGTAAGCTGATACAAATTTAGTAGACATTCCATTTTCATTTAGCTGTTCGCGAAAATCTGCGAGAAACGTTCTCGTCAATTTAACAACTTTAAATCCATTTCAAACTTCGCTCGAGTGAAATATAAGTAATATCGTTACATCGCATCTACAGCCGATTGGGAATTGTTCACTCAAATTATAAGAACTTCTGTTAGCAACTGCTTAAAAGTAAAGTTTCGTCAAGCAAGAGAAACATCATTAATAATAATAATAGGCAAGAAAATGTCACTTTTGAAATCCAATTATCCGAAAAAGCAACTCAGAAATTGTTCCAGTTAAAGAACTTTTGCTTCTTTGTTTCGAGCATGCTCGTGTTATATCCAAAAACAAAAGCCGGCTTTTTGGGCTTTTCTTTACAACAATCTTCTCATTATCAATTTTAAGAAGACAAAAACAGGGACAAATGTTAAATCGTGTTCAGAAGTCAAGTATAGCCCATTATATTTATAAAACACACGACCTTATATACCATAAATATTTAAAATTAGTCAAAGAGGTGCTTTAAATTAGAACATGACGCTTGGGAAAGTTTAAACACACCCATATATGTTCAAAATAATAAAAATTATCTCATGTATTCAAACTTTTGGCCTATCCCTAGTTCCGTCTTATCCCAACTATTACAAAAGGTTGAGTTGATAATTATTTTTATAATTAATCAGAAGCTACAATCTGTATCCGCATTTGTTTGACAAGTTTTCGATTAATGAAGCACGTGTACTCGGTTTGGGCCCTCTAGGCCTTCCTAGCTAAGGTTATTGACACTCTCATTTTCCAATTCTTTCTTGATTAGATTTTTGGTTAGTGAAGCATGCGTTAATTATGTAATTTGGC